GAAAAATCACTGTCAGTACAGACTCGAATATCGGGGTGCAGAAAGAATTGCTAAAAACTCGATTCGCCAGTACTATCTCAAATCACAATGCGTATAACCAGTCAGAAAAACAACTCGCTAACAAATGCCATGGCCAAAAATGCCCGAATTTTCCCGATCTCGAATCAAGAAGACCAACTGCTTTTATCGGCAGAACCTATTTTTTTTTCATTTGTCGGCAGCTAGGATAGGATGTTCTGTAATTTGCATATCAAAATACTTTTATAGTGACTCCTGCGAAGGACTTGTTTTTTTCTTTAATTCAATTATTCCATTTTCAGCATATTATGTGGAATACGTGCCCTTCTGTTTGGTAAGTAATTTTCTTTTTCGACACTTTTTCTGTCATACAATACACGCGATGCACTGTAGCTTGGTTTGACGAAGTAAGTCGCCGTTTTCTTCGCTATAAAGAGCTTAGGGCTTCAAACAAAAAAAGGGCCCTACAATACCTGGCCACTAAAGTCATCCATGCCAAAGCATTTATTCTAGTGGAATATTTCTTGTTTTTTTTTTGTTTTTCAGCTATTTTGATCTGGGCCAAATAGGTTACCCTACCCCTGGCAAGTTTGGGTGGCTTACCGTCTTGGACTCACCTGGTGCTATAAGGGTTCCTATTTTACAAACTACACATACTGACCGCATGATAATTGCATAAAAGCACATAAAACTGGCAGTTATGGTTAGTCACTGCCCACTTGAAATTAGACTTAAAATATATCAATGCCCTGCCATTTCTTATGGCATTGAGCAATCTTTTTTTCCAGGGTGCAATCTTAGACTCTTTTGAAAGCTGCTTATACTATATATATATATATATATATATATATATATATATATATATATATATATATATATATATATATACACACACACACACACAGTATTTGAGACCATCTTTAACAGGCCACAAATAGAAAAAGGCCTGACATATTACATGGTATATGCCAATTTTATATGTCAACTTTATATATATATATATATATATATATATATATATATATATATATAAAGCCTACATTGTTTGAGATACATCAACCACACTGAATGAGTGGCCATTTTAAATAAACTGGCTAAGTAAAAAGGATGAAGGACAGATGTCTTCACAGACCCGCTGGCATACTTATGGTTATACATATCAAGTTCACAACCTCTGTATGCCCTGCATGTCATGAAAAATAAGGGTCACACCATGCCACCTCAGTTATTCCTTCACAATCTATATTGAGATGGTGGTTGAACATAGTAGTCACACCCCACGTCAAAAAGGAGTCGACGTACATGTTACAGCAGGATTCTGCTCCTTCCCAAATGACCCATGTGAACAAAAGAGTGGTTAGCTAATGTCTTTCATGATCATTTCACCCTCAACATCTGGCCTCTTGGTGTGAATCTCTTATACTACTACTACTTTTAAGTAGAAGACTGAGTCCACCAATAGTTCCACAATACCAATGATGCATTGAAAGGTATTATGGACAAGAACTACCGATTTGAGCAGGCAGTCACTGTCAAGGCTGTCTTCAAGGTCGAGGGCAGTTTTTATTGAATAACCTTGTTTTGCTAGAGTGAATGTGTACACAAACATTTTTGAAAATATACTAATCCCCCCTCCCTACAATTGAACAGTATTTTCTTTGTTATTTCTTCTCAATTACCTGGCACATCTGGTATAAATGATGTTATAATAGGCTTTCTGTATTGATTTAAAATCAGTTTTTATCTGTTTTACCAAAGAATCTAGCATATGAATTTCAGCTTTCCTCATCACCTATCTGAAGAGGATTTTAGCAAAACCAAAACACAAACATGAGTAGGTTGACACCATTATGAATATTGATACTAAGTTGCACAAAATTGTTTTCGAAATCATATGTGAAAACTTATTTTCATGTTGGGCTGCATTATTGTTGGCCATGTGTAAAGCGGATAATATCAAAATAGCAACAGTGACAATATGAATAACAATCCTGCATGCACACATGCTATTTGCACATTTATTTGCTTATGAGATATTTTGTGAACAGGCTGCACAAATGTTTGAGAAATTAGTTTACATATGAGGAAAATCTTACACTAAGAAATTCTTGATAAATCTCATAAGAAATTTATAACAAAGCACAGAAACAATATATATATATATATATATATATATATATATATATATATATATACATAGGATTCTAGATCCTTATATCAGTTTTATGCTATGCCAATGATTCAGCGCTGACATTGGCAACATTACAATCTAGGTGCCTATGGTAGTATGTAAAGTGATATGTTGATTTTGTAGAAAGTGAGTTTCCTTATAATTTAGGTTCAATATTAAATAGATATGCATTGCACGTCACCTTTATACATGTTTTGAATAGATTACTATTTTGTGTAACAAGTAACCAAAAATTACTAAAAACCAATAGTGCATACATTAAAAAAAAAAAAAAAAATCTTCGTTGCACCCTTGTGATCTGCATAAAACCAACAGGCAGAGTGCAAGCATTCTGTGGACAATAATGAGCCCAACTAAATGATACAAAAAACACAAACAACTTACAGATTTGTTTTATATTAAAGTACAAAAAGCAAAAAAATTTTACATTATAATCAGAAAGAGAAATGAAATTTCTGGAGCACATGAGAAAAGCGGACTTGAAGAATTTGGCATTGACAAGGCATACTGAAAACAAGAGTAAAGAGAAAAACTGAGTAACCTACCTAACAAGCTAGTGTAAACAGATGGCAGAAAATGAACCGAGAGGAGTAGTAAAGAAATAAACATTACAGAGGACAGGAAGTTGTAGAGAGCCATGATTGCCTACATCCTGATTGAATATGATATAAAAGGAAACTAGCAAAAATATTCTATAAAAAATATGTATACTTAAATTTAATCCTCATGTTCCGTAACCCATCCGGCTACAGCAGCCATGAGTATATTCAGGATAAGATAAATTAATCTACTTAAAAAGTTGGTGTTTTCTTTAAAAAAACTTTCTCTATAAAGTGACATCTGCATATTCCTAAAACAATGCTAACACTTTGAATTCAAAAAGCAAGAAAAATTTCAACAATATTTTCCTAGTTAAACCCATTTTAATCTTAAAATAAAAACACTTACGTTTTTAGCATTCAATAAACTTTTAGCATTCAATAAACTTTTATGCTTATGAAAATCAGTAAATAAAATGAAAGACTCAGTCATAAGTATGAATGAATTCAGTTCTATTTTACAACATTTTTAAAACAAGGCTAACTTATTTTTTCAGTGTCATTACTTTTATATCAGAATGAAAAAAAAAAAAAAAAAAAAAAAATCAACTACTTAGCAGCTGCTTCTATCTCAAAAATAAGGTCACAGCCAAATGCAATCTTTGAATACCTCCTAATGCTGAAATTCATATCAAAGACAATTAGTAGAGCATAGCATTTATATTAACTTGAAGATATCATTTCTTTCATCAATGTGACTCATATCTTGATTAAAAGGACAGTTATATAAAACTTGGTCAACTATTTTATATTAAAGTCCAGCAAACACATTTTTAAAATAAATCAGCTTTTAAAGCTAATTCAACACTCCAGAGACTGTTGAATTAGTAATAAAATTTAAAGTTTAATTACAGGGAAATTATTTTGCATCAATACGTTTGCAAAAAGTAAAAACCCTAAAAACATACTTCCAATGTACAGTATGATAATTTATATTGATTCATAAAACTAGTATGATTTTGATTAACCATTTTTTTCTAAAGTTTGTAAAAAAAAAAAAAAAAAAAAAAAAAAAAGTTTTTTTTCACATTATTATATTATGTGGCAGACAGAATTAGGCAATAATATATATAAATATATTTGATATACTCATTTTTTTTTTCTAATCATTTCACCCCAAGCAAGGATGCAAGGGGTTACTGAGAAAGAAAGAAACTGAGAGAACAATAAAAGAAAAAGGATTCAAGAAGACAGAAGTTGACAGTTGACATAGCATTTGGATTTTTGAAGATTTTAGTTGACAGGAAGGCAAAAAGCGTGGGAGAAGCAACTAATAGCATAGAACTTGCAGTTACAACTAGCAATTTCAAGAGTGAAACTATGAGACCTAGGTACCAATCAAGTACTGCACTTCAATTCATGTAGCCACAGTACCAAAGAGGACAGACAGCTCATCAGAACTTATAAAAATATTTATAGAAAAGGTAAGGGAAAGTCACATTACAATGATGAGAAAGTGACTGAAGCAGAGATGTCAGGTCAGGACCAATAATGTTATCAATTCTTTTTTGGATTTTGTCAAGAATCTCTAGATACCTAGTAAAAACTAGATGTGGCAGCAATATTCAATGAATAGATAAATGGTAGACTTATAATTTGCAAGATAGATTCAGGGGAGAAAAATTGTCAGTGACATTAGAAATTAATTCAATATAATCATTCCACTTCATATTAGTGGAAAAACAAGAGACCAAGAAGGTACATTGAGTTGTTATCCTGGAGGTTAGCATCAGCCATACTAATGGAAAGCAAGAAAGGTTTTTTTTTTTTTTAAAAGACAATATAGAGCAATTTCAATATGTTAAAATTAACAAGCCACACATTTTCACATGTGCTAATGTCCTCATTTCTTTTGCTATCACATTTCAGATGATGTTTCTTTCACTCTTTTAAATGTATCAATCTACTCCAAGAATTTCAAACTGAACCTTTACGCTAAAGATTAATTTGTTCCAGTTCTAACACAGCCCATGTCTAAGGATATAATCTTGTTTTTACTATGGCTCAGTTATTGCTTGTCCTGTTTCCACAGAGTTTAAGTCTGGCTCAGGGATCGAACTTACAATTTCTATGCCATCAAATTCTTTTACTTTTTTTTGGTACAGGGGGTCAGGGTTGCATTAGAGAAAAAGCAATTATGAATTTGTATTACTCATTATCCTGCTGAAAGAAACATAAGAAAAAATACTTACTCTAACTTCTCCATTTTCCTTTGCAATGTAAGTTATTCCAAAGTAATCCCTTTCCAACAAGTTCAAGTAATCACAGACTTTGTCAAACAAAAACTGACCAAGCGTCTGCTTCTGTAAACAAAAAAAAAATATAAAGTGAAATAATATTTATCAATAATAAAATTGAGACTTAAAAATTAACACATTGCACAATATACACAGTGAAATTTGCAGTTGCAATCCCCATCATTTCTATCAACTATTCTAAATCAGCATTTAATATAGCAGTTAACTGAAATTAAGATAAATAAATGACTAAAGATATTTTTTCTGATCTTAATATTGAATATGACACAAAATAACTTTAAAACTCAGGACTAGAAAAAAATTCAATTTTTCTTTAAAGTAAATAGTAATATTTAGATTTAATTTAAACTTGACATCAAAATTCAAGAAGAAATAAGCATCTTCTAATATCATGTGGAGGAACCAATTATAGCAGAATTTGGTTTAGAAAATCTTTTGTCACCATGGACCCAATAAATTTAAGAAATACTTTAATATTTTTGCCCAGTTCAAATTTGAGGTCAGCTGGTCGGGTCAGGCTTAAGGTGTAACCCAGTACAACCTTCTGCATGGACAGGTAGTTGGCATCTAAACCAGCGCTCCCACTAGCTTTTCTGCTGGTGAGGAAAGCGTGACACTGAAGATTAAAGCATAATATTTTTGTCTAAATAAATCCACATTACAACCAAAAACGTTTATGCACCTCTCTTCTCTTCTTTTTTAATATACATACTTTTCTCTCGTTGGAACCACTACAACCTCTTTCTTTTTATTTATATATATATATATATATATATATATATATATATATATAAAATAAAAGACTACTTTTTAAATATCAATTTTATCTTGACTTTGAAGTTTCTTGGTAAAATTTCCTGTCTTCAGGGGTTCTGGTTTTAAACAATATTTCAAATTTTTTTCCCACCCCAATTAGAAATATAATTTTGTTGAGCAATATATATATATATATATATATATATATATATATATATATATATATATATATATATATATATATATATATAACACATGCACCAAAAAAGGTGGCCTGAAAGTCTTGCCAACCTTACATAATATTTTCTATTTCAGATGGCTGACATGAGCTCCTACAGTTTGGACGTGAGGGGGAGGGGGACATAAGATTTTCGGACCACCCTGTATATTTCTCACTCTTAAAAGCAATTATGAAGTATTTTCTTCTGTAGTGAGTTGTGTGCGCTGATATAAATTTGCTTTCCAGTCAAAGCAAAATCTTGTACATAAATGAAACAATTTTAATAATTCGGAATCTCAAATATTTGAAATTTTCAAAAGTTACATTCAAAGACGATGCAACTTTTACAATTTTTATGAATTCTGAGCAATCAAAAAACAAGCCTCATCCCAGATTTCAACAGGTTTCTTTTCACTCAAATGAAAGAATCCCACCTCCTCCACCTACAGGAAACTCAATTGAAATATTTCAACAAACTCTTACATTCGACTAGACCTTAACTAGAGAACAAAGCAATATAAAAATTATCTATGGTCAATTACTGATTTTGACAAGTATGTTCTAACCTTGTCAAAAAGATTAGCTTATATTATTAACCTTTTTTGTTTTTCATGCCAATAAAATCTATTACTGAACCTTAAAATAACTTGAAAATATCAATACAGGTATATACAAGTAAACATTCATATACATAAAAGAGATTCAGTTAATGTTTTTAAATGCAAGTAATGACAAACACGAAAAAGGATAACAGAAATAGATAAAACAGATTTTCATGTTTTTCGCAGAGGTTATATCTTAAAAGCAAACAGATGCGAAACATTTTGAGCAGCTACAAATACCTGATGCTTATAGGATCTGATGTCAAAAACGGTTTCCCATTTTAAGCCAGAGAGTTTTTGCAATATTTTTTTTTATATTTTCAAGATGGTTCTAAGATTTACAGCTTGTAATCTGCTTAGTCTACATCTTGTTTTTATAAAGAATTGATTGTATGTGCAGCGATAGAATAACACATTGAAAATATAGGTCTTATTTACTGCAGTTGGCAAAGTTACCTTGATCATCTATCAAAGTACTTCACTATTATACACTGACTAGTGTCTTTGTTACTATCATAATATTTTGATCACTATACCCTTCAGTCATGAAGTGCTTGCCACAGCTGGTAACCTAGGTATTTTAAAATCTTCTATTCAACCCAAGATGACAAATTATTCTTGTGAATTGGGCAATGAAAAATATCTCCATGGACTGAATAGAAGATTAAGTTAAAAATCTGTAGGTTACTAGATGCAAGTATCAATGACTAAAGCATGACAATACCAAAATTAAGGCAATAATCAAGTTTTTGGAAGAATTTAATAATAGCTTATTTAAAGGATTTAAATAAAAATTATCTTCAATGTTTTTGTCACAATCAGTTTTCTGTATTTGAAGAATATTAGTCTGAGAATCTTGTTTGTTTAAAACTTAACGACCCATTGATCAGCAAGAGATCACTGAGAATCTTGAGATTCAGTGCCAAGAGAAAGAGAAAAGTATTTATATTTTTGAAATATTTTTTTTTATGCATCTCCGTTTGAAATAAAGCTTTTTTTTTCTTCAGCATTTCGAGACCAAGTTCTTTCCACTTAGGAAGTTGAAATTATTCATTCCCACCCATCATTTTGCAATTGAAGATCTCTTTTGCTTATTAAAAACTTCTGCAATCAGTTTTTAAAATTTAATACTTGATTTATTTAACTTTGAAGAAAAGCCTAAAAAGATCAAATGTTTAAATCCAAAAGACGTAACCAGAGGAAGGAAGAGGGAAAAAAAAAACAAAAAAAAAAAAACCCCTAAACATAACCCCTTTTTCGAACGTAACTAATAACTGATACAACAAAAGTTAATAAAAATGAACACGCTATCACCCCTTGTCTGAATGATTGGATCTCTCTCTATCCTAGGAAACAGTGCATTATGAATTTTTTGCTGCCTTTAAAACTGTAATTTTAAAAAATAAGTTACTGCAAAATTCGCTTGAGGATGAAATGGAACTAATGTTTTTAATTTAATTACAAAATTAAATTTGAAGCTTTTAGCTTCCATTTTTGAAACATGGTTATTACTGTGTAGCGAGAAAAAAAATCATTTTTAAATCAGTTAATTTATAATATATATATATATATTTTACAAATGCTGTTACTTAATGTTCTGAGGATTGTGTAAATAAACAGTGATTGTATAATTTTAAAAATTCTTTAAAATTTCATTTATATCTTAAATTTAAAATTCCATTATCTTTTAAAGTTGTTTAATTAACTATGAAAAAACAAAACCTAGTAACAAATTCAATATCATAGTGAGGGTCTGATAAGCTCGATCACTATTGTCATCCAATAACCAATATTTGAAGCTACAAACTTCATAAGCTATTACAAAATGTAGGTACTTCAAGATGCCTAATAATAAAAAAAGCTTTTATTTTAAGCAGTAGGTATTTAAATGCAAAACACTTAACATATTTACTTCAAATAGAAAATATTAATTTCAGATCAAAGACTATAGTGAAAATATCAACACTTTAAATAATTCTGTTAGGCTACAGACATTATCCTCATGTAATAGGATATATATATCCTTGTACAGTACATTTATAAAACCAGTTTAAAAACAAACTCTTGTTTTAACAATGCTAAATTGTGCACATTAATCAATCTTAAAACAATTCTTACTTTATTGGTCAATAACACCACTTAAAAATATAGATATCCTTGTTTGCAGAGTTGGTGCATACTACCCTCTAACTTACCAAGCCTCATTAGAGACCCCAAGTAGTGTTTGTGACCATTGCTATCTCAACATTTATATAATGTTACAAATTAACGTAAACGACTATTAAAGGGTGAAAAAATTTTCAGATTTCAACATCATTCTGGAGTCTTGTTTTTTGTCCAAAGCTGTAAATTTGTTTTGCTCACGCTAAGTCTCAAAAAAAAAAAAAAAAAATAAATAAATAAATAAATAAATAAATAAATAAATAAACCTATAAAATTCACTATTTTTTATCCATAACATTGTACACAATTAGGTTATAATAAAATGTTTATATATATATATATAATTGGTGTATATGGAATGAATTCCAATAACCAACAATTACTATTCTTAAAAGAGTGCTCAATACAAAGTAGAGCAGATATAATTATTTATTTAGAAAATTTATAACAAACATGTTATAAAATCACTACAAAAATAGCCATTTTGTTTCAACACTCCTGGTGTCTTATCAAGTCATGATGTTGAATGCAAAACAAATTTGCATTCAACATCATCACTGAGTATTGAAATTTTTAGTGATTTTATAACATGTTTATGTTAAATTTTCTAAATATATATATATATATATATATATATATATATATAAAAATCACATGTATTAATTTCTTATTTGGCTATAGCTGGTCACTGAAATTGGCTATTTTTTTTTTCTAGCCTTAACCCCAGCGAAACTACAAAGCACCAAGAGTACAAGCCAGTTGACTGATAGAAAACTTTGCCATATTCATCATTATAGCCAAATAAAAGAATATATGTTGTTCTAGGGTTGTTCTTTTTTCTTCCTCAGTCGAGTCATCCCCTGTCAAAAATACAATCTTAACTCAAGAAAAATTGCTCACTTAAACATCCACAGCTCATATGACAAAAACTGAAACTGACCTTAATTTTGTCTGGTCCCTACACACCCATTTCCAGAATACTGTCCAAAAAATACCTTGGTCATAAAACACCAATCAGAAAAGCATTCTATATTTCTAAGATGAGGTATTGTAATTATTTCCATTGTTCAAACTATTGACCTCATATTTATCGTCATGCCCATGGCATTTCATCCATTGTATGCAATGACCTTCTTCAGGTGATTAGAATTTCAAACTGATTTTGAACCCACTATCTCATCCACTAGTTCCACATGCCATGCCTCTTCCGGATGCCTCAATGTTCTCCCTTTAATTCAACTTGTTCACCACTCTTTGGGTCAAGTCACTGGATCCAACCAATGCTTTTATCCACTGGGAAATGT